GGTTCTTCCTCATCATTTGTTGTCTCATCTTCACGAGACTTCTTCAAAGACTTTCCCATAATGGATCCAGCCTTTCTCTTCTTCTGTTGCTTGTTTCTAAGTGGCAAAGGAACACAAGAACTGACCCAAGACTCGTGGTGGGTGTACTGCAACCCCACAGACAAGTCTTGTTCAATGTCTACCATGTATGGCTGGATTCTCTCAGCATCTGTCACTCGAACCGGCGTACATTGAATCTACATACAAAATGCCATTTTACAATAACAAAAATAAGAAAACTCATATAACACAAATGATGCAAGAATTATAATGTATAATAAAATCTATCTCATCCAAACGAATAAAACGTTTTTTTGGGAAAAGCCAATGAGCGCCCCTCGGTATGTCATCTCCCGTGCATGTCAACCCTCCAGCGTCAAGAACAAACTTGGGCATCATCTCACAAGCCCATATCTTTGTACAGAAAAAAAAAAACAAAAAAAAAATCATTAATGGTCTTTTTAAACAACTAGAAAATGTAAAATAAGCAAAAAAAATTTAAATTGTACACATGTACCTGAAGAGGCATCAAATACGCGTGGATGTTGAACTGCACATCCGACCCATCCTCAGGCGCGCATATGACATCATCAAGGTAATGGTGTAATCGTTGGAAAACATACGCCCCCCAAGGAAACATCCTGAACATCTCAGGCTCGTCCACTAAGCTCCAAAGCCATAGTGGCACAGTGGAGCTGGGGTCGGGTGCAAAGAAAAAATAGTGAACTACTAGTATGTGTGCAACCTTCAGTGCGTCGTCGGGGTACTCCGCGAAACTTCCGTTCTTGAAGTCATTAAGCAAGTGAGCATCGACTACACTCTTGCCGTAATAATGATGGCGATATACCCCATTTTCCGGTGGTGGTATAGACTCGTGCTCGTCGGGGATGAACGATGACCCACCGAACTTCAAGCCGGTAATTTGGCAAAACTCGACTTTGCCAAATTTATAATTTTTTCCCCCGATTCTATACCAATGCTCCTTCTCCCGAGCACCATCAACAATGACCTCCCGACCGAAAAGTGCGAGCAATAGTTTCCCATTGTAGTAAGCCTGTGCATCGAACCTTAAAAAGTGTCCAAAAACTGATTCTTTGAACTCATTAAGGCGGCCACACACACCTAATTGCTCTTCAATGTGGCGTATCAGTACTGGCTTCGCCTGGCAATTTATTTTGCCACTCCAGTTGCACGCCTC